CTTCTGTTGTTATTACTTTCTATCATTGCTTAATTCAATTTGTGCTCAATAATGAATTTTTTGTAGTTGCACCCTGAAAAATAAAAATTTACTTTTCTGAAAAGTAGCAATTAGTTATTTCTAATTTCCACAAATAAAGAAAATTATGTACTGTAAAACAAACTTATAAGTAAACTTTTAAAGCTTAGGCAAACATTTATTCTTATTTCTATTCATCCAAAGAGAGATCATGTTTCAGTGTCAAACTTATTTTTCTCGTCACCAATATATATTAAGGAATTTTTCGAAATGCCTACAATGTACAAAGTGAAACATTTTTAATTCTTTTGTTTAAATATCTTCATTATAAATGGTCTTACTATGTTACAACCCCCATTTTTGACAAATGTACACAGTTGGGTTTGGGTGCCTCTAGCAGGGGCTGCCTGGGGGTGGGGGTGGGGTAGAAGATGGGTGAACTGTATTATGGAAAATATGAGGTTGGTTATTAAAAATTTGAATAAGTTAGTCCATTTCTCATTATGTATATTAACTTTATGTCTTTTCAAGTAAGTATCTTTATATAGTACGTAGTATATGAACAATTGCAAGTTACAAAGTTTCATCTTATTCGGGTAATATATTTTTAAAACGTTGAATACATTTTTTTGACTTAAAAGTGAAGATAACATTGACAGGATAACGAACTATGTATAATGCTACTATCCATATGTAGCATGATTCAGGTAGCTGCTGAGGATGCTAAACGCATTTGATCTGGTAAATCAACTATACAGACTTAAGTGAAATGACTTAGCATAACGAAAAGTTAAATTGTACAATCCACCGTTAATTGTAAATTTTAAACTCAGAAAGCGTTGTCTTGGGCTTATTCTTATGTCCATTGTACAAAGTTTCAACTTCTTTTTCATATTTATTACTAGTTACTCGTGTCTAATTTACTTTACCGAGCATGCTGAAGATATATAAATATACTGCCATAGCTACATGCATTATCTTGCTGCTATACCTGAAAATCATCTAGTCAATTCTTGTAGCCTTTTTCTGTAGTTCATGAGAGGCTGCTTCGAACGAGTGATGACTTCGCCTGGCCTGTTGACTCTAACTTTCATGGTCGATTCGTCGTTGATGTAGAGTTTCTGGACCTGAAGATCTACCCTCTAAACGTGAGTTTTCTCTTAAATTTTCTCAGAAGTTAGAACTTAGATGGTGTAACGACCCAAAATTTAAAGATTTAAGTCGCTACATAAACTTACATTAAACATTTAATGGCTTATAATAAATGATAATATACAAAATTTTAAAAGTTTAGTATATTAAATTGTAAGAAGATTTAAAATATTTTCCATTCAATTTGGCCTCTTGTCTATCAAGAAATTCCTTTTTATAAAATGGACTCGCATAATTGATCATAAATAAAATTTTAGTTTTATCAATACAAAATAACACACATAGAAATTTTATAATAAATAAATCATATTTCAACTTTTTAAATAAAAATTCATAGATAATAAAACTAAAAATAAGGCTATAAATAAAACTTTTAATCATGTTGCACCGAATTGATTTATTGAGTTTCATAAATTCTGGCATCATGAATGTACCTTATTGCCCGCTAACCAACGACCTATTCTGACCTGTGAAGAGTAGGAGAAAGGGTAAGTATTCAATAGGACACACAATAATGGTGCAATCCCAAAAAAAAGATTTAAAAAATGTGTCAAAAATATTGTATCATCATCATATCTTTAAAAAGCAGGAAAAGCTCAATAAATATCATATCTTTGTTATCGGATGGCCATAACATATATATCTATTCATATCTTTTAACTTTCATTAGCATAATAATTTAACAACATGAAAACAATAATTTAAAAGGGATAAGGATCAACGGTCATTAGATCAAATTAACTTTTGAAATACAAGACCAAAATCAGGTTCCAACCTAATTCTTTTTGCCTGCCTATCATTAAAATATATCTGTATATGTGCTGGGTAATTATTAGAGTTGTAAGATGTTTAAAGTGGGTAAATGACTTCTAATATAATATGTATAGGAAGCTGCACCCTCAAAGAAATTGGTTAAGACTTTTAAGGAATAAAATCTTGAGTGGGGTGTATGTTGCAACCAGATTCTATTGAAAGATATATCACATCTTCATCAGCAAACATCTTATCTCTATAGTGAGGGGACACGTAGCTTTTTCATGTATTCATAAGTCAAATCAAAAGAATTTAAATGATATTAAATGATAATAAATCTCAACAATATGATAAAAGCTCCAATACGTAGCTATCCATAAGTTTTTAAAACTTAGCATTTCTATTTAATATAAACCAATTAATATCATTACCATTAAAGTCAACAATGGTTTAATCTTATGCCATAAATGTTAAATTCATTAATTAACTAAACTAAATTACAATGTAAGGAAATGTCTTTCGACCTCAAAAACTTAGGTTTCACTTATCCAAATTAACTTTTTCTCAAGCCTAATATGCATAATTATTTACGGGCTATCCAATGAGTTAAAAATCGATATATAAAACGCACTCTATAAAAATCTATTTATTTAACCCAAATATAAGAATTTCAAACCTATTTTTTGTTTTAGTTCTTCTACTCTAAAAAATATAACTAATAGCATCAAGAAAATAAATTTTACACTATAAAATTATCGCGGTTTTACAATCTCCTCTCCTTATATATTTTCGTCCTCGAAAATTTACCTCGGCTAAATGAAGAATTCTGGATATCTGGTTTTAAGCTCCTCTTCCTTCTCTCGAGTTGACTCGCAAGGTCCGTGATTTCACCATTAAATCTTGACCAGAGGAACTTCTCTATTTCTTAGTTGGTGCACCTTTCGATCCAAAAGCATTATCGAAACTTATCCATATGACAAGTCCTTTTGTACTTTCAATGCCGAATGGTTCACCACATAATTAGAATCATGAATATATTTTTTGAGCATCAAAACATGGAACACGTTATGCACTGCTGCAAGTTCAGGTGGTAAGATTAGTCGGTAAGCCAGAACGCCAATCCTTTCAAAAATTTCAAAAGGTCCAATGAAACGTGGTCTAAACTTTCCCTGATCAAATCTCAATACACCCTTCATTAGTTCTATTTTTAGATAAATCTTATCACCTACTTGAAATTCTAGATCATTTCTTCTACAATCGGCATAACTTTTTTGTCGATATTGTGTTATCTTTATTCTTGCTCCATTCTTGCCAACCTCCTCAACTGTTCATTCAATAATTTCAAAACCCAAAATTCTATTCTCTTCGAGCTTGTCCCAATGGATAGGGGATATGCACTTTTTCTCGAATAGATCAATTCCTCTCTTCATGTTTCTCTACCAAAAAACTACCTAAATGTGCAAGATACAGGGTGGAACGAGTCTCTTTCAATAACTTGTTCCTTATTTTCGCATTCTTGGGCATGCACAATCTTCAGTCAGTACTTTATCTGCAGATATTTTAAATCTAATACTGGAGTTCGCGGAACACAAACTTAACCTTAAATTTCTGATAGTGAAAGAGTGTATGGGGCATAAGACTCTTTAGGTTGATTTCCTTACGGAGTCATAAGACTATATGGGGGCGATGGGATTGGTCGGGCTAATCCTTTCGTGAGTCTGCCCTAACCCCTGCCTCTGATTTTTATTGAATGAGGGGAGCCCTAAAGGGGCGAACGAATGCTAGTATCCCTCAGCCTTAATCTTTCGTAGAAATGGATACTTATCTTTTGCTTATTTGATTCGATCCCGAAGAGTAGGTTGAATCATTAATGCTATTATTCTCGCTATAGTAACAGTCATTGATGTGAAGACTTCCAATCTTAATTTCTCGAAGTCCTTTATCAAATGTTCTAACTCCGTGGGTAAAACTGCTAATTGCAATCCCGTCTTCCTACTTAAAGCATTTGTGACTATGTTAGCCTTACCTGGATGGTAAAAAATCATACGATCATAGTCTTTCACTAACTCCAACCATCTCCTCTGCCTCACATTTAGTTCCTTCCGTGTGAAAAAGTATTTAAGATTCTTGTGATCTGTATAGATTTCACACTTGCCACCATAGAGATAATGATACCATATCTTTAAGGCATTAACTATCGCTGCTAGTCCTAAGTCATGCGTCGAATAGTTCTGCTCGTACTACTTCAACTGTCTCAAGGAACAAGCAATCACATTTCCATATTGCATCAAAACACAACTCAAACCCTACTTAGAGATATTGCCATAAGACAAATCCATCGGAACCTTCAGTCACTGTCAATATAGGAGTTGAGGCTAATCTTTGCTTGAGTTTGTGAAAACATTTTTCACACTTTTACGTCCACTGAAACTTCACACTTTCTAATCATTTGAGTCATCGGCCCAGTTGTTTTTAGAAATCCTCAATAAATTTCTTATAATAGCCGGCCAACCTCAAGAAACTGCAAACTTCACCCACAGTGGTCGGTCTAAGCCAATTTGTTACTACTTCCACTTTAACTGGGTCTATCTCAAAACTCTGCGCGGTAACCACATGACCAAGAAAACTCATTCATCGAGCTAAAATTCACACTTCTTGAATTTAGCATATAATTTTTCCTTTCTCAAAGTACCGAGTACTACTTGGAGTTATTCCTCGTGTTGTTTCTTATCTTTGGAGTACACATGTATGTCGTCAATAAATATTATGATGAACTGGTCCAAATATTGATGGAATACTTGGTTCATTAGATCCATCAATACTGCTGAGGTATTGGTCAAAACAAAAGGCATAATAGTGAACTCATAATGCCCATAACGAGTCCTAAAAATAGTTTTTTGGTATATCAGTTGCCTTGACCTTTAGCTGATGATACCCTAACCTTAAGTTGATCTTCGAAAACACCTTTGCACCCTTTAATTGGGTTAAATAAATAGATGTTGATAGATTGTGTTTTATATATCGATTTTTAGCTCATTGAATAGCCAGTAAATAATCATACATATTAGGCTCGAGAAAAAGTTAATTTGGATAAGCGAGGCCCAAGTTTTTGAGGTCGTAAGATATTGTCTTACATTGTAATTTAGTTTAGTTAATTAATAAATTTAAAATTTATAGTATAAGATTAAACCATTGTTTAGTAATGATATTAATTGGTTTATATTAAATAAAAATGTTATGTTTTAAAAACTTATGGACAGCCATGTGTTGGAGCTCTTAGCATATTATTGAAATTTAATATTATTTAAATTCTTTTGATTTGACTTATGAATGTATGAAAAAGTCACTTGTTCCCTCACACACTATAAAGATAAGATGTTTGCTGATGAATATATAAATATCAATCAACCGAATTTGATTCCTCAAAAGTCTAACCAATTTCTTTGAGGGCACGACTTCCTATACATATTATATTAGAAGTCTGTTACCCACTTTAAACACCTTACAATTTTTATAATTACTAGCATATATACAGATATATTTTAACGGCAGGCAGGTAAAAAGAATTAGGTTGGAACGTGATTTTGGTCTTGTATTTCAAAAGTTAATTTGATGTAACGAAATGTCATTGATCCTTACTCCGTTTAAATTATTTTTTTCATGTTACATTATTATCCTAATGAAAGCTAAAGATATGATATGTATATTATAGTCATCCGATACCAAAAATATGATATTTATTGAGCTTTTACATCTTTCTAAAAATATGTTGACAGTATGATATTTTTGACACGTGTTTTAAATCTTTTATTGAGGATCGCACTATTATTTCGTGTTCTATTGAATATTTCCATATATACACCCTACTCACAAGTCAATGGGCGGTAAGGTATAACTATGGTGTCAGGATTTATAAAACTCAATAAGTTAATCTAGTGTAACATGATTAAAAGTTTTATCATCTATGAATTTTTATTTAACAAGTTGAGACATGATTTATTTATTAATGAAATCAAAATTTTATTTATGATCAATTATGTGAGTCCATTTTAGAAAAAGGAAATTTTTGACAGATGAGAGGCCAAATTGAATGGAAAATATTTTAAATCTTCTTATAATTTTATATATTAAACTTTTAAAATTTTGTCTAACATCATTTATTATAAGCCATTAAATGTTTATTGTAAGTTTTATGTTGCGATTTAAATCGTTAAATTTTGGGTCGTTGCAGTTTGGTATCATAAATCGTTAAATTTTGGGTCGTTGCAGTTTGGTATCATATTGAATTTTATGTTTGTGCTTTACCCTTTGTTTTTTTTTTTTTTTTTTTTTTTTTTTTTTTGGTTGGTTGGGGGCGGGGATGGTCCTTTTTCTTGTTAATATTTTTCTATTCTTTTTGAAACTAGCATCTGCATAATTTACATTAGGTAGTATACTACATAATATTTATCATTTTTAAGTAATATTGTGCATATGTATCTTAGCAGCGTAGTTTGCTTCGCTTCTATGCTGCCTTACTCATCTGAAGACTGATTAGTAGGTCATTTAGATTTTACACAAACCGGATAGCCTAAAAAAAGAATGAACATCACTAATGAAATGTTTGTTACACGGTAAGGACAAGATTGTATAGTACATCAAACAAGAATTTAACTTCTTTTTCTTGTTTCACGCTATTCTGTACTATCCAATCCATCTTAATAAACATGCTAAAATAGTTTTCTTTGAGATGCATAATCGTCTCTTCTTAAAACACAGTTCTCTCTTACTATTAAACTTCAGGGTGGAGAAGGCAGTTCAATATGGCCGAGTGATGGTATGATGCAATATCTAGCAACTCAAAGCACTCTCAGATGCCTCTCTCGCATGCTTAACGAGTCTATTCATGCTGATGTCGCCATTAACACGGCTGATGGAACGCTACGAGCCCACAAGGCAATTCTTTCTGCAAGCTCTCCGGTGTTCGACAGCATGTTCTTGCACGACCTCAAGGAGAAAGAATCCTCAACAATCAATATAGAAGATATGTCAACAGAGTCATGCGCGGCCCTTCTCAGTTCCTTGTATGGAACTATAAGCCAAGAAAGTTTCTGGAAGCACCGATTGGCATTGCTGGGTGCGGCAAACAAGTACGACATTGTAGAGTTGAAGGATGCTTGTGAGGAAAGTCTACTAGAAGATATCAACTCGGGAAATGTCCTTGAGAGGTTACATGAGGCTTGGCTTTACCAGCTCAACAAACTGAAACAAGGATGCTTGATGTACTTGTTTGATTTTGGGAAGATTTATGATGTTCGAGATGAAATTTGTGATTTCTTCAGGCAGGCAGACAGAGAACTAATGGTTGAGATGTTTCACGAAGTGCTCACAGTGTGGAAACCAGCGTAAGTAAATCAAACCTATGGTTTTCTTCGGTAAATCCTATTCTATGTTATAGATAAATATGTAGTACTGGTGTAAGAGTTGTATCAAAATGTACAGTGTTATTGGGCATGCGCCTGACATAATATGAAAACTCGGGTTGTGTAAAAGAATATTTGCTTTGAATTGAGCTTGTTAAATGAAGTGCCATTTAAATTGCTCTTTACATGAACAAGCACTGGACACAGCAGATGTCCAGTCTCAGTTATCAGATTCAAATCTTCAGCTATATCAAGAACGGAATGACAATATCATACATTTCGGTGACAGGGTCAAAAACAAAAATGACCCTTGCGCCCTCAGCAAGGACGGGCAGGAAGTGGCTCTGTTTCAGAACTGTACACTAAAAAAATGACAGAAAATAGAAGTGTAAACTTTTCTTTTTACGGGGGGTGTATGTGGAGATCACCTTTCCTCGACTTAGGAGAATTTTCAGTCGTAACTTCCAAGACAAAGGAATTCCGAATCTCGGATCAGAAATGCACAGGAGCTATGTTGTGAGGAGAAGCAATATAAGAAATAACAAATCTACTTGTGAAACAATTTTTATGCTGATTTCTCGAAGGGTAATCTTTTAGATCCTTGCTCAACTGCATCTCTCCATAGCCTGTATCTTACTCCCAGCTTATCGTATGACACTGGCCAATTCCAAACATTTGCGCCATTGAGCATGCGCTCCTGCTGGCCAAGAACAAGCCGTAGATCCTCATTCAATACCTGTTGATATGGATTTGACATCAAGACTTCGACTAGAAAATAAGGAGTTTAGAAACAGGCAAGATGGAATTTATTGATCCAAGAGCAAGAGGCATAATTTAGTGTGAAATGAGGAGAAAGTTCTCAATGACTAGTGGATGTACGATGAAAATTTCCAATGACGTGACAGTAAAGTAAGAGTTACGTAATATAAGTGATTTCTTTTGCTTAAACGCACAAAAACTTTACCTTTTCAGCAAAATGTCTCCACAGGTATTGAATGAAAGGAACGTGCTTCAGTACAGGAGCAAAGTCAAGCGACATTCTGTACAATAGCCTAGTCTTCTGTCTTGACGACGGTAAGCAAACATGGAGTTGGTGAAGATGTGTTGAACACTCTCCAGTATTTTGCCCTTCTAATTTCCCGGGTTTTGAGATTCCAATTGTTGATAATACCATACAAGGTGGTCTAAATTCCATATCTATTGGATAGGGATCCCAGTATCCTTGCAGACCAGATGCAGGCGTCAAAAATTTCACCAAGCTGAGGATTCAAATAAAAAGATCAAAGAACACATAAGCTCTCTCTGTTGCAATAAGATGGCTTCATTGAATTTGAATTTTTGGCGTTAAAATGATAATATTTTTTTGATAAATTTTTAAGGAGTCAAGTTGTATGCGAAAATGAAAAAGAGCCTCCTAATGCACAAGTTTCTCCATTCATTTTAGCTTCTTGATGTGTTCATGTGTAATAATAACTGGCATGATTTTGGAAGGGAGTGAAAGCAAGAAAAAGATTTTGGAGTTCGACCTATGATGTTTTGTAGGCACAAGACAAATAAGAAAGAGAACAGAGAGAGGAGAAGAGCAGGTTGAGTTTGTGTTACAACTCGTCCACTCGACTAAAGGTCGATAGACAAGTAATGCAATCCACCAAGGGTCGAGTGGAGGCAACTCTTTCACTGGAAGGCTATTTATAATAATGGTAAAAGTGACATGAATTAAATAAGATTTAGTGGTTGCACAATGGTACAAAAAGTAATAGCTGGATCCAACCTGGGAACACTCCATCCCTTAGCAAAGGTAGACGTGTGGGTAAAGGGAGCATGTGCAAGATCCAGAAGGTTGTCCAGTAGTAGTCCATGTTCTACGGGAAGTTCCATCACGATCTGCATTGAGGGTGAATCGTTATAAATCTGTGTATTCTTGTTCGTTTGATATTTCTTTTTTCATTTACTTTTCCTCTCAGATGAAGGATAAAGGTTTAACCATAACAAATATTTTGACAAGATAATTGAATGCAGGTACTACTACATACCTCAGCATGTATTTGAAATTCTGATGGAGGTAGTAAAGAAGGAAGGTTAGCTGTAGGCGGATCATCGCCTGGCCAAATCCATATCATTCCCTCCTGCTCAAGGCATGGTAATGCTCTGATTTTTATGTTAAGTAATCTAGTCGACGGCATTTTTTCACATTTTCCATCGGTCGAGTATTCCCATCCTGACATCAGTGATTATGTGAAAAGAATAAGTGTCATTATATCAGCTATAAATAAACTTGTGTAAAACGTTAAGCTATCATATCTAACCATGATAAGGACACTGGATGCGACCCTCGTTTACTGAACCCAGATGAAGTGGGCAGGCCCGGTGAGCACAAGTATTCTGGACACATCCAGGTTTTCCATCTTTCCCACGAAAGATTACCCAAGGTTCCTCGAAGCAATCTATTGGAACCTGTGAAAATTTTCGAAGCTATTATCAATAAGAAAATAATAGAACAAAGCTCTAATGAGATGTTTGCTACGGTGGAGTGAACAGTATTGTCAAGATGAAGGTAAAATCTTGTCCATTTTAATGTCAATGTGTGCCAAACATAACCCTAAAAGTAGACTAGATTCCAGCCTTCCCGAGTGACAACAAAGATGTCCTAAGATCATCATTTCAGTAGAAAAGTCACAATAAACCATGATATACAGGGAAAGAATAAGAGAAGAAACGAAAAGCAAGATAGTAAAATACGAACAAGTTTGAATTTTTTGGACCAAAACAGCCTATTTTCACGGACAAAGAAAAGAATCTATAGACCAAGATGCCAAGAGTGTTAAGATTTTTTTTTCCTGTAGGGAATCTGTGCAAACGTGAAACCAGGTTGGGCTCATCATTTAGGTTTAGAAGATATCTTGGCTAAGTGCATGTTTGGCATAACTTATAATTGAATATCTAGTCAAACTATATTTTTATCCACACATTCAGAATCTACAACTTTTATCCACGTAGCATCCACACATTCCATTGGACCCACAACTTACAAGCATTAAAACACAAAATATATATCCGAGTGCCCATTACTACTTTAGTTTGGATATGAACGTAAAAAACCCAAATGGTACACATTAATGAGTATAAAGGAGGAAGTACAAGTTTCTATCAAATACACTACCATGGTGTCATCCTTCAGATCTGCAGAAAAAGCAACAGGGTACCAAAAATTCTTCAAACGGGCATGGTAAGATTGGACAGGACCGGACACATTGAGGCTTCTTCTCGGCTGCCTGGTCTTGACAGTATCAAGAGATTCTGTAGAAGTGCTCGGGGTAGAGGTTGACACGTTAAATTCCATCGTGTTTCTATCTTGCAATAGCCTATCATTAACCAAAGTTTCCATGTAAGCTAGCTTGTCCAAAGCAGTGCCAATCCTTGCCTCTGAAATATGTACCTGTATGTGTTATATGAGTCAGACATAGTTCGCTAATTATAAAAGATTTTTATGGCATTAAGGGGATTATCATGTTTTTAACAAAAAGGAAACACTAAGGGTGAATGCACACCAACATTTGAAAGAAGATAATGGAGAGTGATATCATATAGAGCCGAGACTTCCCAAAACGATGGCTAATGGAACTGCTAGATATAACTGATGTATGGAACAAGGCCGAGAAACTAGGGCAACCACTGAAATAATCTACTCAGACAAAGATGGCAAGAGCCGCTTCATCAATCATCATGGTATCCATGGGCTAACAGGTCATACTTTGCCCAATTACCCTACAAAGAGACTCCTAAGAGCCAAAGTATTAAGGAAATGGCAAAAATAAGGCTTTGACGGACATAGGTATAAAACACTTCCCATTTGATTGCCTGTTTACCTGATCTTCCCCGTCAGCTGTGAATCTTATGCCAAATAACTATAGTTCCCTAAAATCCATAGATTCTTTTATCATTCAACTAGATCTTACTAGATTGTATTAAAATTTCTGGCCTCAAGCAATTGTAGGACTCGTTTGGCAGGCTTTTTTTTTTAATAGGTAATCAAATATTTTATTAATCAAAAGATAATTCTCAAGAAGTGTATTATTGTATGGTAGGACTTTTGAAAAGATAAAAGTTGCTTTTGAAACTAAGAAGTTTTTGGACCTGTTTGGATAATTTACCGAAAGTAGTTTGTCTGGTTAGAAGCTTTTTTAGAGGAAGGTGTCAAAAGGTCTCCAAAAAGCAGAAGTTTTGCCAAAAAGGATCTTAATAAAGAGAAAGCCCTTAATTATAATTATATTAATCTCATATAAAGAGCTAGCGCCCAACTTACCTGATTGTGAGCTACTGCCAGCTCTTCTTGCAACTCTGCGAGTTCCTTCTTCAGGGTACCAATCGATTTGTATTCACGGGCAAGAGGGTTCAATACTTGTACAACCTATGTTGTTATAAAAGGTGAGAACAATGAAATTTAATGGGATGTAGAAAATTAGAGAAACCGTTCTTCTTCATCAACTGATTTTTCATAGAAAAAAGTACATCAAGATGCAATTGATTGATCAACCTTTTCATGCAAAAGCATGATTGCAAGAACATCTTGCCGAGCCTTCCAATCACAGTACTGTATATCATATCTAGCCACTTCTAAAGCTTGATTCACATCCAAGAACTTGCCTTTACATTGAGGGACTTTAGACCTCGGATCTTCTACTTCAAAAATAGTCATCCATAGGTTTTTCCTGTCAACCAACTCGCCTTCCTCCCCTATGATAGCTGACACTGCAAAGCCTCCCTTGACAGCCTGCGTCCAAAATGCAACATGGTTCAGCTAAGTATTTAATGCTACCTACTTATACATTAATGGGATGTTCAATATGGTTAATTATATCACTTGCAAAGAGGTTAAAGTGGAAAACAAAGTTAAGAGTTATATTGGCTATAGGTTCGGAATAAATTTGAGGTCGACTACATAAATCATTTTTTCACCACTTTGTTCGATTCGTTGCTAGATCTACAAGATCCTTCACTACAACTGACCATGTAAAAATCAACTACAATCTGATTAATAGAAATTTAAGGAGACTGAATCTTTCTACACAGAGCTCGAAAAACATATAATCTTTTACTCATTTCCATCTGTGGATAAATCCAAAAATATATACTAATTGATGGAATATACAGAAATTGCCAAAACTTTTATAACAAGTACATGTGTATTTCATTAAAGATTAATTTCTATTGATCAAGGCAGTCTATAAACTATCAGATCAACAAAACTGGAAAACCCTTCTAAATAAACTGGATGAAAGGCAAGACTGCCACCATTAAGTTCAAAATTTACTACAGAAAAATAACTTAACAATAGTTACAATTAAGAAGCATAAAATCCATATTAATTTAAGCAAGAAACAAATGGTGCATGTTTGGTACTAAGTGACTCAAAACTAAGAGTATAATAAACAAGATTTTAACTTATGTTACTTCGTTACTGTCACAAACAAAAACACCCAACCAAACATGCCACCACCAGTGTATTTCATCAAAACTTACAAACTATAACAGATCAACTAAACCAGAAAAGAAAATTCCCTTCTAACTACACTAAATAAGGATCAAGAGTTCTACAACTAAGTTTAAAAATAATAATAATAATAATAAATACAAAACCTCAACTAAAATTCCTATAAACCCACAAAAAAGCACCTTTTTGGCGGTAAACTTTGATGAACGACAAAGAGAGGTAGGAATAGAAAGCGCAGCAGCAGCAGCAGCAATGGCGGACATGGCCGAAGAAGGTGCGTTTCAAAATTAACGGAGACTTCGGGTAGGCAGAAAAGGAAGGAAGGAAGAGAAAGTTCAAAGTTGTGAAACATTTTTGTGAGAGATTTTTGTTTTGTTGATAAGAGGTTGGTGTCGTGCGAAATCTGAAGTCGCCTCCCAAACGTTGCCATGTGTAAATTCTTGGGAATTCCTGTGCTTAATTCGTGGCTGCTTTTGTTTACACATTTTGCTCTTGTTTGAGCCCGTTCTTGCTAAATTTATAACGCTCCAATTTTTTATAAATTTCGAAACGTTAAGAAAAATTTATTTTTCTTTATTTTAAATGTAGAACTACAAAAATAAATTTTTTTACTAAACAAATAACTGCAACATTTATAAATCTAAATTTAAAATATGAAAATTTTATCTAAACATAACATAAACTCTTAACTAATTTAAGTAACACGTTTGAAAAAAAATTAAACTGATTTGTAAATTTAAAGACAGCAAACACATTTATTTTTCTTTTCATTTGATTTACTTGGCAGCCCGCATCACCGTCCTTCCACAATTTCACTCTACCCGAACTAACCTGTAAAAATTTATAAGAGTGAGCATTCGAAAACACCCAATAAAATACGTGTAGTTTCCATATACGTATATATAGGGATGTCAAAAGGGCCGAACCGCTAGTCGACTCGGCGACTCGGCTTGTTAAAATAGGGTTCGTGGGCGGCTTGGGCTCGTAAAATCACAAGTCCGAGGGCGAGCCGAGTGGGCCTCGCCGGGACTCGGCTCGCCTAAAAGGCAAGCCGCTCGTGGGCTCGAGAGAGCCACGAGGCTCACAACGAGCCCCCAAATAAAGTGACCAAAATGGTCACTGAATTTTTTTTTTTTTAAAAAAAAATTTTCCTGTTCCACTATAAATACCCCTTAAACCCCCTTTTTTTTTTCATATCAATTACTCAATCACTACTCCAACTCTCTTGTATTATATCAATTATCAAGTTTTTACTCTCTTGTGCTGCAAAATATACAATATCAATTCAATTTTTACAGTTTATTAGTTACAATTTCAATTCATCCAATTCTCAATTCTCACAACATTTATATTTTTCTAGTTATTATATTTGAATTTCATCATAAACAATCAAATATGGATCAATGCTCATTTGTTGAGAGCTTATTCGATACGGGATGTGAGCCACGTCATGGCGAATCGCCTAGGACGCTGCAAAGTCAATTTCCAAATGAATTTGTTGGTCTAAATGACATACTCATACCTGAAGATGTTCACATTCACGGTCAGGGAAGTCACGATCCAATTGATTTGGATGATATTAACGTTCTCGAAGCGGAACATGAGGACGAAGATGTCGAATTAAATATCGCAAATGCGATGGGAAAGCGAAAGGCCAAAAAACAAGTAAAATGTTGGGATCACTTTAAATTGATTTCAATAGGAAAAGTCGTCGATGACCTTGCAAAATTTAAAGCAGTATGTAAATACAACCAACAAAGATTGGCATGGCAAAAAGGAATTGGTACCACCCATCTTAACCGCCACTACAAAGCATGTGCGGCCAGACATGGACTTCTTCCAACTGGTCAAACATAATTGTAATTTGGCAGTTCAGGCACCGGTTCTACAACTTCGCCCCTATCCACGTGGGTGTATTCAGAGAATAATATTCGAACCGGAATGGTGAAATTTGTTGCCGCCACTGAGTTGCATCTGGCTATTGCAGACAACCAACACTTCGTCTCGTTCGTGAAAAAATATCTGCAGCCGAGGTACGTTGGGGTAAGTCGAAACACTCTTCGTGCCGATACAATACAATATTTTAATAATTCAAAATAACAATTAATTATGGATTTACAACAATATGGGGATGTTATATCTTTGACTTCTGATATATGGGAAGGGTTAATTAAATAGCATATATAACTGCAACCGCACACTATATAGACCTACTTAGTGCATACATAAGAAAATTATTGCTTTTAGAATTATTGAATTTCCTCACAATGCTAATAATATATATAATGCTATTATTAGTATTGTTAGATAATATAATTGTGAGACTAAAATTCGGTCTTTTACTTTTGATAATACTAGTGTTAATAAGGTAGTCGTCGATAAATTGTGTAGGACACTTCAACTTGATTTTGATGGGTATTTGTTTCATATTAGTTCTGTGTGTCATATTTTGAATTTAATTGTGCAAAATGACTTAAAACATATAAATGATGAATTTCAAAGGATTAGGAATGCATTAGTATATATTACGATCTGTCCTAATAGAAAACAATTATTTGAAAATTTTTGTGCCGAACTAGGGGTGACAACTGCTAAAACATTTGTTAGCGACGTAGGCCATAGATGGAACTATACTTACTTGCTATTAAAGTCATGTGAAGGTTTCGAAAATTTAATAACTGACTTTTATAACAATAGACACATTAGAAGTGATGACGATGGTATGTCAAATGAATCCGATTGGATTTTAACTTTGAAAGTTAAATGATTTTTGACATCTTTTTATGAGACCACAAAGATTTTATCCGACGTTTATTATCCCACAAGTTGTATGGTATTTGAACGCCTTTATATAATTGCAAGAACATTCCATAAATATAAAAATGATCCTACTTTTAGTGAAATTATAATTGCTATGGAATTAAAATTTAGAAAATATTGGGAAAAACTGCCTATGTTATTTCCTTTAGCATGCGCAATGAACCCCCGATATAATATTTCGGGAACTAGATACGTAATTGATCAAATCAATAAAGTTTTAATACTTGATACACCTATCACCTATAAGAATTTAGAACAAACATTATGTAGAATGTATGATTTATATGCGGAAAGAATGAATGCGAATGTTAATTGGGTACCCTCTGTACCTACTCCTTTTGTTGAAATTGAAGAAGATGATACCGAAATAATGAATTTATTTTAGGGCATTAATACATTTAAATATGATGCAACTGCAATGTGTTCATCTAGTGCCATGTCGTCTACATTTGTATCTCATCAAATATCGGCCGAAACTCAAAATGCGATGCATGCCGAATTAATTGATTACTTCAATCATAATATGCCAATAGACAGAACAATTAAAAAGTTCAGAAGAAGTAATTGAATTCTGGTGAAAGTATGAAAGATGTTTGCCAATTATTTCTGCAATTGCGAAAAAATCTGCTGACACCTCCGGTTAAAACTGTTGTTTCGGATCTGCTTTTAGTGCAGGTAAAAGGATTTTGACCAATGTCAGGAGCCGACTGAAAGAAGATGTTTTGGAAGCGTTAATGTGCGTGAATGATTGACAGGACGCTCATTTTCGACTACAAAATAAATATCCTGAAATTGCATGTCGTCGGATAAGTGATATTTGATTTAATTATATTAACCAAATTTTTTTTATTTTTTAATCGTTAAATTTAATTTTTTTAAAAAATTGTACACGTTACAACAAGTTGTTCATGTACAATTCTTAACTCCATATACTTAAAATTGATGTAATTGGTCCCAAACCCGGATAAAGAAGAAGAGTTTACATTTTATCTACTTTAAAAAGAAAAAAATTGTAAATGTACTTCAAAAAATAATCCATTTTCATTATATAAATATTTTATATTTTATAAAAAATATTACAATATGGTATAAATAAAAAAAATAAAAAATTGTCTTCATTAAATTATTTATATTTTTTAACACTTTTTTATTCTTTATTTCATTTATTTGTAAAACTCTTTAAAAAAAATAAAATGAACGAACCCACGAGTCAAAGCTGAGATCGCCCAAATTCAACGAGCCGAGCTCGTGAGGTTAAGGATCGAGCCGAGCCCACCACTATATATATATAACAATAAAAATTACAATTCATACCATCTGATCTTATGAAGTATTGATGTCCAAGCGACACACCCATCTTAGGCTCCCTTATAATTCCGTAGGATTTCATATCTATTAAAAAAGGTCTACTGACAATTCATGCATTTTTTATTAGACATAAACGCATAAGGAAACAAAACCACTCGTACTTAAAATATCTTACCTTGTTAGAAAAATCTGAAACACGTTCAAAATCTTTTCTCCGCTTTGAAAAATACGTGATTAAAATATTCAATCTATGCAAACTTTATTTCTAATACTACCTTCTCTCTCTCTTTTTTTCTTCTCTCTCTTACTCTCTCTCTCTTTACCTATCGTATGTGTGAATTGGTATGAGTAAAATTTTTTATCATACCTATATATATATATATATATATATATATATATCGGTGTAGGCTAGAGTAGATAAACCAAAATTTGATTTGATAGGGCCAAATCTTGCAACTAATGCCTACTCACAATGTACTTTATTATTATCTTATTCAACTAAAAGATATCAATTATCTCTATCAAACCGTATATGAGTGTATAGTGAATTTTGTTGTAACTAGAATAGTATAATAGTGAAAACATGTGCAATCTCTAAATCAAAACTAACAAATAATGATAAAAATCCCACCTCACACGTTTTCTTTTTGGAGAGAGAAAAAATAAATTGATTTATAATCTATATAAAATTAAATTTATACCATTTTCTTTCAATTGGGTCTAACTTAATGCGTCCTTATCCAAAATAACTTTTTCTCGAATCAAAGACTTCTAATTAATTACGAACTATCCAACGAGTATAATATTGATATACTTATAATTGCTCTATCAAAAACTAATTTATTTGATCCAGATAAAATAGGAATTTATATAATATACAAAATAAATAAATTTTTATCTATAAAATTCTTAGGTTGCTATAAAAGTTTTGAATTTGCGTATAATATTATTGTAATGAAGAATATATGATTCAAGTGGATCAAAAGACTTTTGTGGGATGCTTTCATATCTTCTTGGTTGCCACCTCGAATAAGTAATAATAATTTTTTGTGTAAGTGAACAATTAAATACCCATGTATCATCAAGTAGTGTTATTTATTTTAGGGTAATTAATATAAAATATTTCTCATTTCGTAAATCATTTCTAACGTTTTAAATATGGCATGTGCACTCTCATTTCAACATTTTCTCATGGAGTTGATTGTTTCCTCTTATTTCGTCGAATGAGTAATTGGTGCAAATCGTCCCTAT